GGGGGGGGGGGGGGGGGGGGGGGGGGGGGGGGGGGAGGGCAGACACACAGCTAGGGAAATGCTAATTCTACCTGCTTCTCCTCCTCCCCCAGTCAAGCCGGAGAGTGCAAAGCCATCCAGACAATCCTCCCTGTTTACTTGGACACTTGGTGGATAGCGTGAGCCAGATAGGCAACATTGCCCGATGTGACTCCTGCGACAGAGATGCGGCCATCCTTTGTCATGTAAATGGAGAATTCTTTGGTTAACCGCTCCACCTGGAAAACAAAAGGACCGAGCAGCAGCATCAGGTTCAGTTCAGGAGGAGGGACTCACTGAAGCTGCAGTAAGGGCAGTCCTGAGGCAGGGGGGTCCCTCAGTTATGCTGCCCAAGCTAGGCTCAAGGCAGGCCAAGGGCTCCAGATGCCAGGCCCGCCCCTCCTACCTGTTCCGGCTTCAGTCCCGTGAAGCAGAACATGCCAATCTGATCAGTGATGTGCTGCCAGTTATGGGAAGACCTTTCCTTCTTCAGATTGGCCACAAGCTGGGTGCGCATGCCGATAATGCGGTCGGCCATTCCCTTCACCTCAGCCAGCCTGCGCAGGGAAGAAGCCAGAAAGGGCACTCAACCCAGCAGTGAGGGAAGGTGCAGCCCTCGACCACCAAGGTCCTCGCCATTCTGCTTTTAAAGCACCCCATCCCAGAACCCAGATGGGTGGAAGCAAGCTAACTTTGAAAGAGGCTCTTCTTCCGACCTTTACTTGGTGGTCAGTATAGTCAGAATGTCAGAATCATCAGAAATCAGAATGACCGCTCTGAGGTCAGACACTTCTACTTTCCCAGGACAAAAGAGATTGGGGAAAAAACCCAGGCTGTTCCCCTGTACCTCTACCATTCACTGTACAACACTTCCCCCACCACTGACACATCCAGGCTTCAAAACCTTTACAGCTGTGCCAGGAGCAGCTCAGGAGATGGTGCGGCAGTCAAGATGCTTTGGGCAGAGCCCTCAATCCTGGCAGGATCTCTGGAGGCCCCCCCCCATACTTCCCTCTGACAGCCCGAGGCCCATACTATCCAAAAGCTTCTGGCTTACCATTCCTTTCGCAGATCAGGGCTGTTGAGTATAGCAGAAGCTATCCGAGCCCCATTGATGGGTGGATTGGAATACATGGGGCGGATCAGGATCTTGAGCTGGGACTCCACTCTCTTGGCTTCATCCGAGTCCTTACAAATGACAGTGAAAGCGCCCACACGCTCCCCTGGAGACAAAAGCCAAATTGTAGTGCTGCCACCTCCCCCGGGGCCTTCTGCCCCACTCTGGCAACGCCATCCTCTTGCTGCCTTCCCTGGCCCTCACCTGCCTTTCACTGTCGATCAGACAACCTCCTGTCTGGCATGGATGGCAACAGCACTCCAGCACAGCCCTGTTCATAATCCTCAGATTCCTCTCTTCAAAATGAAGGTTTCAACCCTAGTCACACCCACACCCACAGAAGAGGTCAAACATCAGGCTTAGGTAGCCTGAACAGAACCCTCTCTTCTCCTGCAACCTCTGTTATCTCTGACCACACACTGCCCTGGTCTGTTACACATGAGGAGGAGGAGATAGGAGGACAGGGCAGCTGAAACTAGGAAGTGCTCCATTTCGGGGTCCAGGTACACAGACACACCTCCCATGCACAACTGGCCCGGAGGCAGCACTGGTGCAGCTTGGACACTGCAGCCAAGGGAGAAACAGGCACTGCTTCTTGGCCATCTTTTCCCAGCACAAGAGCTCCTGGGGCCAGGCCAGTTCTGAGGGAGATGTGGGAGCCTTGTTTAGTTACATCCTTCATTTTTGGGGGTGGGGGGGTGGGGTGTCTAGTGTACTGTAGAAACCCAGCCCATTTGGTTAGTGTTGGCTCAATATATTGTGCAAACCTAGAAACTTCAGCAACCAAGTTAAGCAGGGTATGGCTCTTGACTGAGTCTGGTGCTGCTGTATCCAGAAATAAGGTGCGAGGATTGGGTTAGTGAAGCACATAGCATGATTATTGAACACACAGCATGTGGCCACAAAAACACACGATGCCCCCCCCTTCCCTCAGAAGCTGCATAAAGTCACAGCATTCCTATTTCTAACTCAGGGCACCTCAGAAACTCGTTTCTAACCTTGCGCTTCCCCACCTTCAAGTGCTGAGCAGTTCCTGGTGGGAAACGAAAGACTTACCATACAGGCCCATGTTCTTTGCATATGACTGAGAGAGCACTATGTTAATGCCTTGTTCGATGAAGTGCCGGACAGCCCATGAATCTCGGTTTATGTCCCCACTGGCAAAACCTTGATAGGCCATGTCAAAAAAGGCAAAGAGATTCCTTTTCTGAAAGACAAGAATGGCTATTTCAGTTTCAAAGGGCACCAAGAACATCCACCAGAGCAACCAATACTGTTCTATCCCAAGCTTGGGTCTGAATCCTGATTGAAAGGGATCCAGATAAGGGCTCTTCTGCAGCTGATTCCCTATCATGTTTTCAGTAATTTTCCTCAAAACACAGAGGCTGGAAATTGCATGGAAGCTGACAGACTGCCTCTTCAGGAAAGGATGCACCAGCAGCTCCTTCATGGCTGGTGACCTCTCCTTCAAAGAGGCACAAGAAGGAAGTAAATTTTATTAGGCCAGCAATGCACAGATAAAATGTAACCAGAAATCACAATGCTGTAACACACTAGCCTGCCCTGCCAAAGGTAACATAATGCATAAAGTCACTGAAGCTAGAAAACACAATTTGGCAACGATTTCTGTGTATCAAAGTTGATAAATATAAAAATTATCTGAGGGACATCTTAAAATCACTCATATTTTAATGGAGGGGAGAATCTGCAGATTGGGCTCCATTACATTCATATCTGGTTTCTGCATCATTGCATTGCATCTTTACTCTCATCATTTCTTTGGCTCCATTGAAAACCAAAGAGCTGGTCAAGATCAGTGAGTAGAGAGGCCTTCACCTGTTTTCTTTGCCTAGGGGGTCAACCAGGCTCAGTTATTCAACAATGCAGCCAACTGTTCAGAGGTCTCTGAACGGAGGTTCTTGGAAAAATGGGTGAGGATTGTTCTGAAAGCAGCATATATTGAACAAAACAACTTGTTTTCTACCAATAGCCTTCCTTCTACCTTCAGAGTCCACAACTGTGGCCTCCGGATTGCACGTGGGTCGATGGCAGGTCACATATGGCCAGGATGCTCCCATCCCACAGGCTTTTAACCCACCACTGCACTTCCTGCCCACTCTCCTCTTCCTCTTTCCCCCTTCAGCCGCTGAAAGGCCTCAGCTTCCCCATCCCTTCCAGAAGAAGAAATGGAAAGAGCTTCCTTGGAAGGGAGTTATGAACTGAGATTCTATTTCACAGTCATCTCTAATAATTCAGAAAAGGCAAATCTCCCCCTCTTTCTGGATAAGATAAAAAGGCAAAACAAGCAAGCAACCCAACCCCCCCCCCCAAAAAAAACTATTGTTTTTTGTTAGCAACAGAAGCTGTGAAGCTTGGTCTCAGGTTAAAGTACCATTTTAAAGTCGTATTTTAAAAAAATCTTCCAATTGTAAAATGAAATATTAAGAATAACAACATGAATAATGAATCTAAATATAAAAGGAAACCCAACTTTTAGGTACAAAAAGAAAAATAAATCATAAAGTAAAAGAAGCCCTGCCCTTCACTGGAGTGTGACCCCCACAGGGCAGTCTACAAGAGTGAGTACCGCATTCTCACATATTTGCCCAGTAAGCTACTTTAAAAAAAAAAACCAAACTCCAAAGTCATTTAAATAAAACACGACAACAACTTCCCCTGCACCCTACAAGTCCCAAAGGAGAGCCCAGGAGCACAGCAAGACCGCAAGAAGTGAAGGGCTGCAGGCAAACCCCTGCCTGGCACCACCACTCACCTTCACAGTTGCCGCAAGTTCCTTCCACTGCTCTGGCCGAGGATCCACTCCGGTGGGGTTGTGAGCACAGGCGTGGAATAGAATAATACTCTTTTCTGGAATTTTCTTTAAAAAGAAGAGGCAGATAAGGCACAGATCAAGAGCCACTTTAACTGAAAATCCCACTAGGAGTAATTTCCCCCATCACAAAAGGAAAAAATGAACAAACATTTCTCATCATTGCAGTTTCATGCATCAGATCAAGTTGTCATTGCCTACTGAATGATCCTTCACAACATCATCGTGGCTTTTTTAAAGTGGCTACAGGACTTAAGCTTCAATATGCCTTGTCTCGTACTGGGGCTCTTTTGGCTACATTTTTCCACAAATGTGACCTTCCCACTTATTCACCCACAAGTATCAACTTACAGAAATGTCCTCCAAAGCCCCAGTAAAGTCAAAGCCGCAAGTTTTGGGGTCATAGTATCGATAGCTTTGTAGCTGCAACCCAGCATCTCTGAAAATGGGGGTGTGATTCCCCCAGGAAGGCTTGGGGAGGAACACATCATGGCTAGCTGTGAAGAATCGTTGCTGCACAGGAAGAAAGCAGAGGCTGTTGAGTAGCTGACTCAGAGCTTTTAGATGGTTCAACTGATACTTGTATAGAAAACAGGAGCCCCATTCTTCCCATTTAAAGGTGTTAACATTAAATCAGCACTCACCAAGAAGTTGGCTCCAACCCTTAAAGACCCAGTTCCAGAAATTGTTTGCACAGTGACATACTGCAAGGATACAGAACAGGCATGTGAGACACCAACAAGGAAAAGAAATTGCATTGTTGTGACTTAGCAAGCACTAAGCTGCTGTCCATTTTGCAGACCTTAAGGGAACAGTGGAAGGTAGGGGCCAGAACCCACCTCTCTTCAGAGCCAACAGTTACAGAGTTGGAGAAGGAAAGTCCCAGAAAATCCACAGATCCACAAGTTGTGTACCACTGCTTTGAGGGCAGTCCTGTTTGGCCACAGTGAAAAGAACAATTGGACTTCTCAACTGTTTTTGTGATAGAACTAGAGGAGAATATTAATTGAACTTGTGGGTAGCGAAGCTACCCACAACAGAGTTTGAGGCCAGACAGCCCTTGGCCTCAGGTGATTTAATTTGAATTCCTGCACTGTGCAAGGGGTTGGAGTCCATGGTCTCAGTGGGGAATGTGAAAACTGAAACCAGCATAGAGACACAAACACCTACAGAGGGACCATTTCTACAGGGCCTTGATCTTGGGAGATCTAAGGGTGAGTTAATTTCCCAGTTGGTTTCCAAGATATAGCTGACTCAGAGAAGACAGTCTGTTTAGGGCTAATTCTAACTCTTGCAGGTTATGTGACTAAGTTAACTACGCCTTTTGGGGATATCTTAGATTAGGTTATGCCAGCAGGCCTGGGGACCCCAGGGGATGGGTGAATTAGTGAGGTGGCTCCAGTACAGCTAGTCCTCGACTTACAATTATTAGTTTAACAACTGTTCAAAGTTATGGTGGTAGTGAAAAAAGTGACTTATGACCAGCCTTTGCACTTACAACCATCGCAGCGTCCCCGGGCCACATGATCAAAATTTGGGTGCTTGGCAACCGGCATGTATTTACAATGGTTGCAGTGTCCTGGCTTCACGTGATCGCCACTTGCAATCTTCCCAGGCGGCTTCCAACAAGCAAAGTCAATGGGGGAAGTCGGATTTGCTTAACGACCACAGCAAAAAGGGTCATAAAATCAGGCATGACTCACTTAATGACTACATTGCTTAGTGGCGGGAGTTCCAGTCCCAATTGTGGTCATAATTTGAGGACTACCTATATTACTAGCATCTATTTTTTTTCCTGTTTTAGTTTTGCCTTTATAGTTTTTAATGCTTTCTAATAATTATTATGTTTTTAGGCAATGTTTGTTTTACATATTTATTGTTTTATTGGCTTGTTGTACACCGCCCACAGTAACTTTTTGTGAGATGGGCAGCCATATAAATTTGATTAATAAAATAAAATAAATATCCACAACACACTATGTCTCCTCACGGACCCAGTCATTGTAAAGCATGTTTTGAGAAGAGATCTATAGCATATTAAACTATAGGATTTGTGGTGGCACATCCAAACCAAACATAAGGAAAACTTGGACCTTTTGGTTTTAGCATTTTCAGACAATACTGAATTTACACATCCCACATATTACCTCTTCCAACAAATAGAGTGGAAGGCGATGGTTTATGTGCTGAAATGCTGCCTCTCTGGGACCCAGAACGTAAAACGTTGAAGTGTTTTCTAAATTAGATCCACTGGGACCAGTGGGGTTATACAATTGCCCTCATTTATTCCAATAGGGCTACTGGAGGTAACAAAGTCAACTCTTCATCCACAAATGATCCAAATCTTGCACAGCAAAGACTGAAAGCTTCTGATATAGGAATCTCTGTTTGAATACACGTGATAAATATTTCATCTGGCTCCTTACCCGGCCACTCTGTATAACCTCATTTGTTTCTCCCAAAGCCAGCTCAGCTGATGCCTTGTTGAAATCTGCTAACCCAGCAATAGGCAAATATTCCTTGTCCATCTTCTTAGAAGCTATCTGGGCTTCTGCCTAGACCACAAAGACATTCAATTTACTCACTGATTTCTCCCACCTGTGAACTGAAAAATATTATGCTGTTCACCTAATATTATTCCTAGATTATTATTTCAAATAAAACAGGGTGGCAACAGGAGAGGAGACAGAAAAGAAAGGGGAGTTCGTAGGATTATGAGTATGGTTTAAAGAAAGAATTAGCCAAATAACTGAGTGCTTGAGCAGTAGCCACTTAACCCATTTCTCATTCCCTTGGCTGGACTTACCTTCAGAACTCTCTTAAGTTTTTGTAATTGTTTCCCAAGTGCAGAAAAGCAAGACACTTAAGTTCAGCCTGACCTGCCCCCTTCCTTCACATGCAAATTTGTTCTCTAGGCTTTCTTTGTCAATCTTGCAGCACTTTCACTTATTCAACACCAAGCCTGCACCCCATTCATACTCCACGCACTTATTTAAATGTTCATTTTAACTACTGCAATTCATAATGTACTTTACAAAACTCTTGTCTTGCAGCCTTATCCTTGATGATACTAGGAAGACTTCAGAAACTTCTGGTATTACTGCTGGGCAGATTCTTCATTTAATCAAGGCATCCCACCAGCGCAATTCAGGCTTTTATAGCTCTTGAGTGCCTGGAGATGCTTACAGAGCTTTATGCTGCCGAATAGATGGAGACATCCACTCCAAGTATCTGGATTAGGTTCCATCAGAAAAGGCCAAAATTCTCACCCATTTCTCTGTCTCACTTACTCATGCAGACACTCAGCCATGTTTAATTCATTTGACAGCCCAAGATCAGAAGGAAGGAAAAGTTTAATATAAGCTCCTGTTGCTTCCAATTCCTGGAAACTCCATTCTCAATTCAGAGTACCACCACCATAGTATTCAAATGCTGATGATCTGTCTATTACCCACATAGGGGGAAACATCCCTTCAGCTGGGTTGCTGAGAGAACAGGGGCCAAGTTGGAAACCATTCAAATGTATCTGAATCAGATCAGAATCCAGGAAGCAGCTTACTCTGCGGACACAGTTCAAGACATAGGGCTTCCCGTTGTCATCTCGGTAAGCCCCAACTCCTAGGTTCATCTTCTTAGCGCTGGTGTCTCGCTTGAAGGCCTCTGTCACCCCCAGAATAGGATCGGGGAGTCCCATCTCCACGTGAGTCCACCAGGAACTGCAGCATCCGTACAAAAGAGACGAATCGAGCTTTACTCCCGCCCAGAGCAGTCGGGAACAGCCCAGAGCTTACCGCCAGGGGCTACAGGCATCGCGCACCGCACCCTCTCCTCTCCTCGCCCAGGTGCGCTGTTCCGCCCCATCGAAGAGAGCCAATCGCCAGGGGCTGCGGCCTCCTGGAAGCACCGCCTCCGTTTCACGCGCGAGCTCTCTGGACGGGCAGGGGCTCTCGCCGCCCTCGAGAGTCTGCCGCTTCCCCCGGACCGCCCCGTCCGGGCGGAGACGCAGCGACCCCCCGACCCGAGACCGTCAAGCGCGCCGCGGCGCGGCTCCGGGCCCGGCAAGAGACCCCGCACGGAGCGCGGCCCCCCAGCAGCGGCGCGCCCTCTGCACCGCCGCGCCAAGGGCACCGAGGCCGCACGCGGGTCCGCCAACCCCAGCCAATCGGAGGCTGCCCTGGCGCTCCCTCCCCTCCCGGCGCCCAATCGCGGGCCTCCGTGTTGCCGCGGGGCGGGAGGCCAGCGCGGTCGATCCCCGACGGGCTCCGCCGAAGGACAAAAAGAGGGCGCCCGGCTTCGCCCCCCCTCCCAAGGCCGGGCAGCTCCTCCAGTTACCTGGCTCGGACCGCGAGGGCGGCCACGCGGGGACATAGAAGCGCGCGCCCACGGGAGCGCAGGAGCGCCATGGCAGCGGTGCGGGCGGAGGAAGGCTGCGAGCCTCCTGCTTCCCGGAAACCGGAAGGGGCGGAGCTTGGACTCCTCGGGCGGAAGTCTGCCTGTGGACGGGGCTCCGCGCACGCTGAGAGGCGCCGGGAGGCCCAACTGCGCAGGCGCAGCTCAGAGCCGCCTCTTCCGGCTGTCGCTGCCGCCGAGCGGTTCGTACCCTCCGTCGCCCCCTAGGCCGGCTGCCGCTTCTCGGTCCGTCTTCTGACCCCTCCGGAGATCCCTCCTGATCGCTAACCGAATCCCTTTTCCCGCCACCGCCTGAACTGGACTCGCGGTTCCTGGAGGGGGAAGAGAGACTCTGCGATCCTGCGGTTACGGCCGTATTTTGCCCTCGGGGCTCGGAGACCCCCGGATCAGCATCCTATATCTTTATCTATGCAAGTTGAACGAGCCCGGGGTAGACGGCAACTTCTTTGTCGATGTCTGCGTCAGGTTGGGAGATTAAGCGCATGCAGCGTGTATTAATGGAAGGGCTGCTGATTAATGATGCTGTCGTAAGAGAAAGTGAAAAAATAGGGAGAGGAGAGGAGAGGGAACCGCAGGTGCCTTGCCTGAACTGGGTTCGCCTCAGCACAGTCGCTCCAACAGAGGGAAAGTGGGATGAGCAGAGCTGGTCCCCTGGCGCCTTCTCCACGGATGTCTGTTTCTCGCCCTGAAGACCTGCTCTTTGCCTCTTAGGTTATGGAGAGGTAATAGCAAAAAGAGGAAGGGGAGGGCCAGCAGCAAGGTGGATGCATTTGGTTTTGACAGCAATGCCGAAGGCAGATCATTCTGGAATGAGTCATTAAGAGTTGAGCCTGATTTGGTGACACTTAATCAGTCAGTCAATAACAAGCACGTCTCTGGCTTTGCCCTGAGAACAGGAGTAGGATGTGATACTGTCTTCCCGTTTCTTATGTAACAGATGATGCCAGGAACCACCACTTTCCCCTTGAGGTAGTGTTTAAGCTCTGTTTGTAGGGAGAGTTTATTCGTTTTATCATGAATTGGATGTTCCAGAAGAACATGGAATCAGAAAGCTGGGATAATGTACATTCCCCATCGTTTTCTCCAATCTCAGCATACAAAGCTGCTCACTTTAATATTCTAGCTTATCCTTTTCCAAAAAACAGTCTGCTGTAACATTATTAGCCAATGCATGCTAGAGTGGGAAGACACCTATGGGGAAACTTTCTTTCCTGCCAAGCCAAAAGGAAAAAAAAAAGGCAAATAAAAATGTAAGAGTGCCTAATATTTAAAATTCAACTTATGTAAAAACTGTTTTTACGAGGATTTTTCACGGATGCTTCTTTAATCAGATTTATTGAAAGGGCTTAGGTTACAGAAATCTTTGCAACTGGATAGGTTTAATATAGGTCCCACTTTAGGACAGAAATTCCTTGATCTTTTGCTAAACACCCATTGATGTACTGGTGAAGATGCCATAGCTATGGCATACTCCTGAAGATGCCATAGCTATGGCATAACTATCAATTATCATTGGATAACTATCAATCTGTCTCTAATCTTCCCTTTTAGAGAAGCCTGTTGAGAAAGTAACATGGCTGCAGTTACAGAGAATACTGGCTCCTTTTCAGATGGGTTAGGCTTAGGTATGGAACCCAGACTACACTGATTGCCTCCATTGATAACCTGGGGTGGAACCACGATAGGGGGAGAATTATTCTCCTGGTCCTGTTGGATCTTCACCTTTCAGCTCCTGCTGGAATAGTGGAGGCTGCAGCCAGGATGGTCTTTGCACAGCTCCTTCTTCTGAACCACTTACAACTATTCTCCAACCAACAGGCTCTGTTGGCAATCACTCATTCATTTGTTGCCTTATGATTGGATTATTGTGTTTATTTAACTCATTTATATGGCTGCTCATTTAACCAGTGGAACTCTGGGCAGCGAACAAAAGATAAATTTTCTTCCCCATCCAGGCCCACACAGCCTCCAGGATTTGGAAAGCACCTTGATGGGCAGAGATACTGTATATAATTACGTTTTGTCAGTATACTGAAGATACTTGACTCTGTGCCAATGCCTGACCTTGCCCAGCAGCTTCACATAGATGTTAAACGGGAGTGAGGAGAGAAGTGAGCTCTGCTCACCCCACATAACAGAGGCCTAAGGCTGGACCTCTCCCCCACTTCCAATACTTCCTGGAACTGGCTTCAGAGGAAAGCAGAACCACCAAAAAACTGTGCCCCCCAAACCCCTTTAGCTGGCCCAGGAGGATACCACAAATGATGGTATTGAAAGCCATTGAGAGATCAAGGGGGGTAAGGATGGATCTACAACTGCGATGAATGCCACATTGGCACTGTCATGGCCCTGCTGGACATATCTTCAGATGAGGAACTTCTCTTGCTCAGCCCAGATGGGAATAGATAATCAGGTGTTATCAATATATTGATGGTATCTCACCCCATGCCCAGAGATGACCTCTACCAGTGACTTCATGCAAACAGTGGAGAGGGGGCTGAAACCCGTGGCAGGTAAAGGACAGATGGAGTTCAAAGAGGGAAGTGAATGCCAAAGAACACAACGAGGAAGACAAGTGAAAGTTTGTGGCTTCACAGAAGAAGTGAAAGACACTGGACCCTCCATGGGTTAAACCCAAGACCCACTTTAAGGAAGAACAGGCACATTGTTGAGGATGGAGACTGGATATAATGTTGAAGAAAGCTTCTGGTGCCTGTATCCAAGCCTCTTCAAATTGTAGGGATTTATGGGGGGATAAATTTTGTGTCCTGGTTTCAGTGGAGGGGGCAAATGCCCGTGCAGCAGGCAGGCATGTTGTAGGTGCAGCTGTGTGCACCTCGTGTATCAGGCTTGCGGAGATGCTGGGGACCAAGCGCATACTGGGGTGAGGGCCTGGTAGGAGAAACAGTGGCAGGGAGGTGAGGGAGAGGCACAAGGAAAATTTGAGTGGTGTGTGTCTGCAGGTGAGGCTTGTGGAGGTGCTTGGAGCAGGCACACAGCAGGACAATGTTGTTAAGAGTAGCAGTGGCAGGAAGGTGAGGAAGAGACATAAAGGGAGTAGGAGCAGGGTTAGGAAGGGGAAGCAGGAAGTGTGCCTGTGCACAACAGGCTTATTGGTGGCTGAGGAGGAGACGTAAATCCTAAAGCCAGGTCAAACAGTCTGCAGTCTGAAAAAACACGATGTCTTGAAAGCACCCAGGGAGGCTTCTGGTGGCTAATGGACTGAACGCATCCATTCTCTGAGCTCCGCTCAAAGGGACTGTTGGCGCAGTGTTTTTAAGGCTCAGGTTGGTCCCCTTGAGCCTGAAGACTTCTCCAGAGTTAAGGAGAATACCTGAAATTGACCATATGTCTTCCAGATGGCTGTTCCTGGCAAGGAGATCACGAAGTGGAGGTTTTTGCGATCCTCTGGTGTGTGAGCAGCTAGGAGGCAGGATTTTCATCCAGTTCCAAGCCATGCCAAAGCTCGACCCTAAATAGACTCTAGATCCGACCATCCCATTTCTTAATTTCTTATAGGCTACTTTTTTATAGTTAAAGAGAGGCTTTTCTTGGACATAGAGGACTATTTCCTCTTGGCAATTAGAGGTATTTCAAGGGACTATTGATTTAAATTGTTTGGTTACTGGTTTTTGTTAAAAAAGCAAAGAGTAACGGAGTTTGAATGATTGTGGATTCTTAAAGAATTTTTTCTTTTTTATTAGTAATTATTAGTAATTCTTTTTGGTGAATCAACCTTTGATGTACTTTTCTGAGTTTTACTCATCTCTGTAAGATAATTGTTCCTTTTTTATCTACTTTGGGCTGATTGGGACAGTCTATGTAAACAAACTAATGAAAAATTTCCGGAGTTTTTTCCCCTCCACCGATATTATTTGTGACCACTAGAGTGTGCTATTGCCTAACTAATCCACTAGTTAAAAGTTTTTGGGGTTTTTTTTTTCTTTTTGGTGGATTTCTTTTTCATGGGCAGTTTTTGGTTATAATAATTTAAAAAATGACTTCCAAAAGAACTTATTGATGTGGCTCTGCAGATTTTGACTTTTTGAAGACTTTTCAGCTAAGTTATACAGATGCTAGATTTGAAACAATAGAACAAAAATTGGATAAAGATGGATGCTGTTGTAAAACAAGTTACTGATAAAGTACAAGTATTGGAAAATAGAATGGATCTAAAGATACAGAAATGGAAATAGGGTTGGACAACTTTGCTGTACTTGAACTTAAAGAAAATGAATTCTGTTTAAGAGCAATTCTTGAAAATTCTTGAAAATGCTCAAGAGAATGTTAAGCAATTGGTTGTCACTGCTCTGTCTAACTTATTAAGTGGGAGGAAGAGAGGATGGATCAAGAAGTGGTCACGGTGTATCATATAAACTCACGCTTTGCAACTCTCAGAAAACTTCCCAGAGATGTCATGGTTTACTTTTTGAGAAGTCAACAAGAGAACAAGTATTAGAGTCACTTTGATTCTAGACTGAAAATTGGCAACACATATATAATCATATTAAGAGAAATACCTACCAGAATTTTGAGAAAGAGAAAGGAGTATACTTTTTTGACAGAGATTTTAAAAAAGAACAAGATTCTATTCCATTGGGATAAATTGGAAGGTGTGATTTTTACCTTCAAACAACAAAGGTTTAGATTCAACTCTGTTCAAAAGGCCAAAGACTTTCTGACAAGAATCAAAGGGGAAAGCCTTGCAGAGCCAACAACAATCGGAAGAAGGGCTTGAGGAACAGGTTGCTGAGATGGGTGGTACAGCTAAACACTTTGACAAACTCTTTTCCTAATTATGGATTATAAATACTTAACATGGAATATTAATGGTGCAAACCATCCCCCCAAACGATGGAAAATTTTTCATTATCTGAGAAAATTAAATCAGGATATAATTTGTCTGCAGGAAGACACATCAGAAAAAAAGATACTTGATTTATAAAACTTTGGGTGAAGAATTTATATTAACAAATAGTTAAAAAAAACAGTGTTGTTTTATATATCAAACCCTATTTGAAACCACAACTTTTACTATCTGATGAAAGCAGTAGATATGTTGCAGC